CTGGAAGTGGCGCTGTGGCTCAAGTGGTAGAGTGCTAGCCTTGAGCTAGCTGAGGGACAGCGCCCAGGCCCAGAGTTCAGGCCCCACGACCAGACTCAAAAAAAAAAAAGAGAGAGTCAAAAAGACTTTCCTGCCTGGGATGGCTTTGAACCATGATCTTCAGATCTCAGCCTCCTGAGTAGCTACAATTATAGGTGTCAGCCACCAGTGAACAGCTTTGCTGGTTAATTGAGATGAGTCTCATGGGCTTTCTGCTGGCTACTTACTCTCTTGAGTAGTTAGGAACACATGTGTGAGCCACCAGCCCCAGGCCAAAGCAAGTTGGTTTTGTTGGTTTATTTTTTGGTGCCTGCCCTGGGGCTTGAATTCAGGGTCTCGGCACTGCCCAGAGTTTTCTCAACCTCTTGAGTCACATAGATCCACTTCTGACTTTTTTGGTAGCTAATTGGAGACAAGAGTTTCACTGACTTTCTTGTCTTGGTTGGCTTTAGATCTCAACATCCTACACATAATTATAATTACAGGTGTGAGCCACCACTGCCTAGCTCAAGCAAATTTTATGATGTTTGGGTTCATACTTAAAGGGAAGTAACAAAACATTATAAATGAGCAAGCATGTCAGAGAACAGACTTAAGTATAAATCCCAGCTTTTGTTGTAATGATTCAATATTCTTATGCAAATGACTAATGATTAAACCATGTCAAGTTCCTTGTTCTCAAAAGGAAAAATGAAATACTGTAACATCCCTGAAACTGAAGCACATTTTGGTGGCCTCTCTCTTTCACGTATTTACCTCTTTCAGAGTTAACTGCAGGATGGACACATCTTCTAGTTGGCTCTTCAAGCTTACAGCCTTCTTGCTTTCTTCTGACAGCTCTGCCCTTAGCTCATTCACTTGGCAAAGGAGGGCATCGTGGGCAGCACTCAGAATTCCCTCATTCTGGAGCAAAGGGAAATTGTGAAAATGATCACCTCACTGAGCAGAAACCAGTAGCCCTACCTTCCTGGGTGGACATCACAAAGAATGACCTTGGAGAAACACACTGCCTCTGTGTTGGCATTTTTAACCTTGCCACTTCTTTGAAAGTACAGCTTTTCTGTTAGGAAGAATCAAACCCTCCATAGGTATCCCCCTCTGTCTCTTTCTTTTTTCCTCCCTCCTTCTTTCCTTCCCTCCTTCTCTTCTTCTTTCCTACTCTCTGTCTCTGCCTCTCTCTCTTTCTCTCTCTCCCTCTTTCTTCCTCCCTCTCACTTCCAGCTTTTTAGTAGTTAATCAGATATAAGTCTCATAATCTTTCCTGCCTGGCTTGGCTTTGAACTTCGATCCTTAGATCTCAGCCTCCTGAGTAGCTAGCATTATAGGAGTAAGACACAGACATCCAACTCATATCTCACTTTGAATGGAAACAGCATGATACATTCATTCCTTTATAGTAATAAAATTGAATTAATAGAAAGCATATGACATAATAAGTTTGATTTATTTGGCTACATTCTAATGTTATATTATTTAGAGATGAATATGGGTTTCTTTGAGTTATATTACACTTATTACTAAAAAATAGATTCAAAGAATCATTGTAAAGTACCTTTTGGAGCAAAGTTTCATAAGCCTGAAAGAAAGAAAGAAGTATTACTTTACTGGTTCATCAATTTTTGTTGTTGGTGGTGGTGGTCATGGGGCCTGAACTCTGGGCCTGGGCACTGTCCCTCAGCTCTTCAGCTCAAGGCTAGCGCTCTACCATTTGAGCCACAGCACCACTGCTGGCTTTTTCTGCTTATGTGGTGCTGAGGAATCAAACCCAGGGCCTCATATATTCAAGGCAAGCACTCTACCACTGAGACACCTTCCCAGCCCTGGTTCATCTTTTTTTTTTTTTTTGGGTCCAGTCGTGGGGCCTGAACTCTGGGCCTGGGCACTGTCCCTCAGCTCTTCAGCTCAAGGCTAACAGACTAACGCTCTACCACTTGAGCCACAGCGCCACTTCCGGCTTTTCTCTTTTTGCTTATGTGGTACTAAGGAATCAAACCCAGGGCCTCAAGCATGCAAGGCAAGCGCTCTACCACTGAGCCACCTTCCCAGCCCCGTGGTTCATCAATTTTTATGTTTGGTATTTATCTCTATAATACAAAAGTTGATTAAGTATCTTAAAACAGACGTGTGTGTGTGTGTGTGTGTGTGTGTGTGTGTGTGTGTGTGTGTGTGTGTTCCTGTACTGGGGCTTGAAGTCAGAATCTTTTGCTCTTGCATGGCTTTTTCATTCAAGGCTTGGGCTCTACCACTTAAGCTACACTTCTACTTCTGGCCTTTTGTGGGTTAACTGGGAGATGTCTCTTTTGTTGTTGTTGGTGGTGGTGGTGGTGGTTGTGGGGCATGAACTCTGGGCCTAGGCGCTGTCCCTCAGCTCTTCAGCTCAAGGCAAGTGCTCTACCACTTGAGCCACAGTGCCACTTCCAGTTTCCTGAGTGGTTTATTGGAGATAAGAGTCTCACAGACTTTCCCGCTGGGGCTGGCTTGAACTGTGATCCTCAGATCTCAGTCTCTGGAGTACCTAGGATTACAGGTGTGAGCCACCAGCGCCCTGCTAAGAGTCTTATAGACTTCCCTACCTGTGCTGGTTTCATGCGTGAAACACAAGTGCCCTGCATAACAGACTATTAAATAGCCCATAAAAACCAGGCATTGGTGACTCATGTCTGTAATCTTAGCTACTCAGGAGGCTGAGATCTAAGGATCAAAGTTGGAAGCCAGCCCAGGCAGGAAAGTCCTCATGAGATTCTTATCTCCTGTAAATGATTCAAAACTCGGGAAGTGGAGCTGTTGCTCAAATGGTAGAGCGCTAAGCCTTGAGCAGAAACAGGCTCAGGGACAGTGCCCAAGCCCTGAGTTCAAGTCCCACATTGGACAAAAAAATTCTATAAATCAGCCAGGTGCTGTGGCTGACAACTGTAATCCTAGGTACCTAGCAGGCTGAGATCTGAGGATCACAGATTGAAGACAGTTTGTGCAAGAAACTCTGTGAGACTCTTATCTCCAATTAATCACCTAAAAGCTAGAAGTGGAACTGTACAAGTGGTAGAGCACTAGCTTTGAACAAAAAACATCAGGGACAAAGCCAAGAACCTGAGCTCAAGCTCCAGAACAAGTACAAAAAAGAAAAAGAAAGGAAAAGAGAGAGAGAGAGAGAGAGGAGAAGGAAGGAAGCAAGGAAGCAAGGAAGAAAGAGAAGGAAGGAAGGGAAGTAAAACTAGAAAGTATGTCGCCTTGGGCTGGGAAGATGGCTCAGTGGTAGTGCTTGCCTTGCATGCATGAGGCCCTGGGTTCAATTCCTCAGCACCACATAAGCAAAAAGAAAAAAGCCAGAGGTGGCGCTGTGGCTCAAGTGGTAGAGCGCTAGCCTTGAGCTGAAGAGCTGA